TTACTCGTGGAATTTGGGATTCCCACTGTAGATGCTCATCAGGGTAAATACCTAGATACTTAATATAGTTTTTATAATCAATATTGTGGATATTTATATGTACTTTTTTCTTTGATGATGCTATTAGAATATAATTAGTTTTCTTAAAATTTACAGATAACTTATTAATAGCACAGTATTTTAAAACTAACCTAATCTCTTCATTCATTGTAAATTCAACCTCGTTTGGATCATTACCGGTAAAGAAAATATAAGTATCATCTGCAAATATTCTAAACGAAATCTTCTCAGAGGAGTTTGGTAAGAAGATCGTAAAGATTTCCTCTCTCGAAGTTTGAGAATTAAAAAAGGGGTAAATTCTGTGAAATTCATCCTTTAGTGGAATATATCCTACTGACTTGCCATAGCCATCTTCACCCCGATTTTCTATTTGATCACTATGTGAATTCGTCATAAACGGAGTAAATTATGACAAATCCACCCATAAGAGCAATATATCCTACAATGATTTAGAAACATTACTAAAAAAAGAACACAAAACGACAACAACAACAAATACACTGTATATATTGAAAATCCATAGTTCAGGAGCTCATGTGTTATATCATTCTTTATCAGCGACATCCAATCGTCAACATGAAAGTCCATTCGTCTGCGATTACAAGAGAACTGGTTTTAATTAAACGCAAGAGACTTTGAGAAGGTCCCAAGATAAGATAGACCGACCAAGCGTCGTTGCTGATTATTTACCCCGGTGTCCGGCGTTCGGTGGCCTTGTTCAGGTAATTGAAAGATAGGATGGAAAGCAAGTATAGCTCAGGGGATAGTGTATATTCGTGAACGGCTACCGTAAACAGCTAAAATCAGTGGAGCCACCGAATAAAATCACAATCTACTAATTCAACTTTTGTTAACGAAGGGCTCAGTGAGATACAGAACATAAACTGAAGGCCAAACTTCTGTGAATGAAGAAAGACTTCGTGACGCAGACAAATAATCACAACTGTGACCTCTCAGTCGATCTCACCTCCGGCAGATAGATGAAGCGTCAAAAGTATATAATTTTATGTTAACGAACCATGATCTATGATCTTCAACTTTTAAAGAAAATATAACAATTGTGATATGACGCTATATCGTGCTTTCTTCTCAGCTTGTGGGTAAAATTTTTTAATTTGAGTCGCAAGTCGAGCAATGAAAACAGTAAATAGCGCAAGACTGCTTATAAAGCGTGAACAACAACGCATCCTTCAGTCGAAAATCGCTTTGTTATCTACGCGCCTAGAATATAACAACAATGCGATCACACGGAGTTAACAAAGAAAAGAACAAAAATTAAAGGGAAGTAATGTGTGTGAGAGAGCCAATGATCTGCGGATAGCAGGTTTTCCTGAAATCAGCAGGAGGTTGTTCATCCGTTGTTACCGAAAAATACTGGTCAAATTTTCCACTTATCCCGACCCCCTTCAATAAGTACTTTTGCATACAGGCAGAACTACAACGGAGTCTCTTAACAAGTCCCAAGCCGTGTGTTGCTCGATAGATCACAAGATGATTGACCACTAAATAGCATTACGTCAGAGGACATATCTGCAATAAGCGGACATAAGTACAACAGTACACTTTTGTGCCCAGTTCGTCGGTTGTGCCTAAATACGTACTCTTTATAAAAGTGATTCAAACGAGTGTAAGACTAATTTGGAGTGCAGAAAAATTTAAGTGCAAAGCAAACCGTAATAACAGTTGAGCAAAGTTGATTAAATATGCAAGCTGTACCTCT